GTGGTATCAAAATCTTCCATACTGAACTTACGAATTTTGGCATTAGACAATTTCTTCTGGCATCAGGCTGGGGACCTAATAAAGTTTATGGATGGGCTATTTTTTCCTCTTTCAGGCCGGGAGTTTTACAGCTCGGCTATCTCGGGCTGCTCGGTGCCGTATTAAGGTTTAAAGAAAATTAGTTCCTTGGCGTGTTTGTATTGTTGCCCCCCTTTGAACTTTCCTATTTATCCTTCAAACAAAATTCGTTCGCTTTCTTGGACAGAAATGCCCTTACCTTACCCGTTCGTCTCTCTCCCTGCTCGCATCGAAACTCGGAGCGCAGCCGCTCGCTCGCAATACAGGCGCGCACACGCGTCCGGCAGCCTCCTCGAGTGCGCCCGCCTCGTAGGTTGCAGCCAGGCGCGCAGGCATGGGCGCCTCCTCGAGTGTGGCCGGCGCCGCGAGCCAGGAGTCCAGCGCCGATGGTGTGCGGAGGGTGGAGGCGGCTTGCTTGCGGCTGCATCACGAAGGGCGGCAAGAGCGGAACGGTTGAGCGTGCGACGGCGCAAACAGCTCGTGCGCGCCTGCGACGAGAATGGCGAGGGCCGCCTCGCGTGCAGCGCCGTCACGGCCTAGATAGAGAAGCTAGCACAAATTCCTTTTCCCTCCATGTAGTATGCTTCGAACCGTCGGTTGCCTTCGATGGCAGGGCTAAAAGGAAAATTTAGCTTAGAAGTTAACACCGTCAGAGTCTCAATCTAATGGAAGGGCCAAGAAACGAATTTTGTTTTGGAACCAAATAGGAAAGTTCACAAAAAAAAGGACCAAGATAGAAAACACGACTTTTTTTTAAGACCAAGAAAGTAAGCCTGCTAATGGGGCGGGTTGCAATGGGTTTTATGGGTCGGGTTTTGATTTGGAGTTTGTTTGGACGGGTCCAAATGGGTATTGAAAGCTAATGGGGCGGGCGGATTGGGTGTACAACAAGAGCAGGTTGGAACGGGTTGCGGCAGGTTGGCCAAGCGCTAATGCATTTGTGCTGAAGGAACTAATTTTCTCTAAGGTTTATTCGACAAAAATCATCCTCCAACAATCTTTCTACCCAACACCCTATATATATTTCGTAGCATCCTTGCTCTCATTTAAGGTGACAGTATGCACCCTACTTTTTAGCGAACGAACAATATTTTTCTCTCACAACAAATTAACATAAGCAGCAACATAAGTTAAATTTCAGTGAAAGCAAACAAGGTGTATATGTTATCTCAGCTGAGAAAATTGTTGGGGAGAGAACTACTTGTAGTGATATTTTTTGTTAGGATGCACCCTATAATTTATGAGGATATATGTGAATTAAGTGTACGAAGACTCTTGAAAACACTCAACAGGGATAGTATATTGTTGGGAGAGAATTATGTGCTAGCCCTTGTTGACATCCTGCACGAGGAGGCTTATGTTTTGAGTGCGCATGGATGGTCTCTGTGCCGGCTCATCTTTATGAATCGGCACGGATAGTGATTATTTGTGTCAACTTTAGGCCCGGCCCACTGATGGCCCATCTCAAGTACTAGAGCGGTACGAATTGGTCAACGCAGATGGGCTCCCTCCTTTCTATTTGCCATCATCGGGCCACCAGTGATACAAAATGAGGAGTTGGTAGCATCAGAGTAAAACGAATAATTAACTGCATGGTTATTTACATCTCAATTATCAGCGTATTCATATACACAGTACGGTACATGCAAGGCCCTATGCATGGAAGGTTACTTTATTTTTGTTTTTCTATAAGTTTATATGAGCTAAGTAAGGGCAGTCCCAACGGTGACACTACGCACGGTTTCCGTAGTGACCACGTCAGCAAAATTTCATCTATAGAAAATATCCCCCACGATGCAGGTTTCTTCGCGTAATAAATGTGTGTTTTTCTCTCTCTCTCTCTTCCTCCACCGATTACCATGGATGCTCTCTTCTCTGGTATTCTCTACCGTGGGCGAGCTCGGCTGGCGAGAGCAGCTGCCAGCACGTGAGCGCGTAGCGGCGCGGGCGAAGGTGCGCAGCTGCCAGCGGGCGTGCGCGGCGGCGCAGGCGAGCGCGTGCGGTGGCTGGCGAGCGAGTGCAGGTGGGTGAACGGCAGCCCAGGCGAGTGTGCGCGGCTGCCGGCGGCTCGTGGTGCTTCTTCATGTCGATCGACGTGTCCGCTCTATACGTGTCCCATGGCTGCACGTACGTACATGATGCATATGAACGAACAGCGAACAATCAAACGGCGACCATCACAAATTGGAACCTGACGGTTGCAATGTGTAGAGCAGATCAAGTGCTCAGCCTGTAGCAAAACCACCTCCACTCCGTGCCGTCCTCCTTCATGATCTTCCGTGGCTGGATGCCCTAGTAGATGATGACGGCCTTCTTGTCCTGCCCCGCCGCGGCCTCGTGATTTTGGCGCTGTTCTGGCGCGGTGGCTGCTTGCTAGCGCGTGCAGCGGCGGTGCGGGCGAGCATGGTGGCGGCCGGCGAGCGAGCGGGCCAGTGTGGTGGCTAAGGATGAAAACGATACGGAAATATCCCGTACCGAACCGTATCGTTTTCTACATTTAATCCGATCGAATTCGTATTTTCAGATAAATTCGAATTCGGTTCGAAATTCGAAACACCAAATTCAAAATCGGAACGAAAACGGTTTAGATATTTTTTTGACCGTTTTCTACTTTTAATTCGGAATATCCCGAATTCAAAATTCGGTTTCGAAATTCGGTTTAAACCAAATTTGGCCCACTACAAGTCCAACCTTAGAAAAATTATATTTTTTTCATACGATCTCGGATGAAGATGATTTTTATATGAAAATTGTAGCTCTCGATGAGATCTACAACTTTCTAGTTCTTAGTTTTTTCATTTGATGTTTTGAAGATGTTCAAAAAATTAAATAAAGTCAGCGATATATTAATCGCGTACAAGCGCTTGTTGCCTTAAAAAAATCATATCTTCCTTACATCGTGTCGAATGGAGATACTTTTTAAGAAATTTGTAGGACTTGTTAATTATTATGTACTTGTTAATTGTTATGCACTTGGTCCTACGGATCAATATTCCGTATTGATTTTTCGTATACCGACCGTGTTCGACATAATTCCGTTCGAATTAGTTCATTTTTGAAATTTTTGATATTCCGTAAGTTCGTGTTCGTTTTCGTGTCTGGCTTTACCGTTTTTGTTTTTGTTTTCGTATTCAAATGTAGAAGTAGAAAACGGTTGAGAAGTTTTCCGACCATTTCCGACCGTTTTCATCCCTAGTGGTGGCGGCTGGAGATGAGCGCGCGGCCAGGGCAGCGGCGGCGCGGGCGAGCGCGGTGGCGGCTGGCTAGCGCGTGGCCAGCAGGGTAAACGCTGGGGCCGTTGGCGAGGGAGCGTGCCGCGGCGGCCGGCAAGCCATCACAGGTGCCGCAACTTGATAGAAACGACTCGTTTCTTCCCAACAGTGAAATCGTAGTTTCTTCGTGCATCGATTCAAGAGACGACTTCGTTTCCTCTTGAAGAAACGGTGTCTTCTATTTTTCATCTCTTTCTTCATTAATTAGGCTGCTATGTCAGCATTTTCTTGAGTTGACATCTCATTTAATAGAGATAGAAACCACCGTTAATTCTCCATTAGGAGTGCCCTTAAGCGTCAATAAAGCCTGCTAATCAGTGGCCCGTAAAGCTTCACCAATCGGACCTGGACAGCCCTAACGGATCACGCACACAGTACACGGCGATGCATCAACCATACCTTCTCGAGCTCAAGCAACAGCTTGTTGATAACAAGCAACATCCCTGCAGAGGAAACGAAAAAAAAAGGAAGAAGCTTGCTGATGAATTTCGCATGAATCAGTCAGGAGGGTCCTTCGTTGGCAGGGAAAGGACCCGTGGTTCAAACGGGGGAAATTTTCACTCGCAAGCCACTGAGAAAACCATGGCTGGAAATTAAAGCGACGCGACGCAGCGCACCGAGGAAAGAATTGAAGAAGAGGTCGATGGGGATGGCTCGTCGCAGCACGTAGTAGCAGTAGCCGCGAAGGAACGCACCCATGGAGGTGAAGGATTGGCAGGCAGTGTGGAAAAGTTCAGTGGGATCTCACCATCCATCCGATATCCCCATGGGAAGAACAAGGCTCGAGCCGCCAGTGGGCGGCCTGTCAGCCTCGTCCCTCGAGGTCGTGGGGGAGGAACCGAGGGAGGAGTAGGGAGACGCTTACGCGTCCGCCTCTCTTGGGTCGTCTGCTTGCGGTGGAGGAAAAGGGATGGCTTCGGGCGCACGCGCACTTGCCCTGTGGGCTGTGGTGGGTTGTGTGCAGTGTGCAAAAGTTGGCGGTTTATCACTTTCTGGTTAGTCTCGGAGGAATGGAATTGGAGAGCATCCTAGTCTTTTTGAATGTGGGAGGGAAGCCCTCCTGACCCGCGAATTCGCGAAAATTCTCCAGCCACACTGTTACCATATTGTTAACATTGTCTACTCAGCTATTGTTAGCGAAAAGGATCTAGCAATCAGAAAGCTCTCGCTTCGACTGGAAAACAAAAGGGGAAAAACACTTTAATTAGAAAGCTCTCAGCTTCTACTGGAAAACAAAAGGAAAAAAAAAACACCGGTCCTTTGTTTTTTTTGGGAGAAAGGGATGGATTTCCCATAAGAATAAATAGAAGAGAGTTGATTTCATTGCTTCAAATACCAGCAACTTCACCAAAACCGTACCCTAAAGAACCTAATCTGCACCCTAACAGCTACTAAAACACAATAGTAGTTAAACACAGCAAAGCGAGTTCAGATGCCTACGGGATGCTCAGGGTTGTCCAGACAAGTGACAGTAGCTCTATTACAACTGAGTTCAGATGCAACATTGTATCTAATGGACCAACACGAAACTACACTCTTATGTCACCAAGCTGATCTACCCAGCTTCCAGAAACTTCTATAACAAGAACTCTTCAAGTTGGATAGATTAATCAATCACAGTTTAGCAAACATGTAACATCAGGAACACCATTACATCAGATAATGTGCGTTGAGATAATATCTGTTGATGTACCTCGACTGCAGACAATAGTAAATACCAAGTTAAATCTAGTGTTGCAGGTTCAGATACATTTAAGTAATGAGCACTGAAGAACAACTTCATACCTTCACAATGTTAACATCAGGTGTATCCGGGGTTTTCACAGGATAGAATTTGTAAAATTTGATGTTTTCAAATGCCTCCCTTTGCTTAGGGTCCATATCTTCAATAGCTTTCTTCCTGGCTTCTTCAGCCTGCAGAAGTTTAGGGGAACATTGAATATTGTAAAGCATCAAATCTCTTGGAAAATAATTAAATATTTCAGTTAAATGGACCTGTTCCAGTTCTATTTTCCTTTGTTTAACCTTCTCCTTTAGAAATTCCTGTCAAAGAAACGTGGCAGCAAAATTAGGAAGGGAGTTACTGCTGTAAAACAATGCTAACTTTAGAGTGTATAATTGATCAAGAAGAGATTAGTGACCTCAATTTTTTCCCTTTCATCCTCTGGCAACCCCTCATCTTTGACTATCTTATGAGCTAAAACCTGCATTGCAACATGATATGATTCAACATGGATGTCCTTTCATAGGTAGCATTGTACATCAGAGTAGAACAACTGAAATTCCTTACAAACCTTGTAACCATCCAATTCCAAGTCAACATCACAAATTATCTGCAACAAGCAGCACAAGGTAAACATTAATGTATGAACAATTTACAGCTACTTGAAACCAGACCTGGAGACTTAATTAGGATGCACGAGTGCACTTCTGCGAATAGTGTTTGAAATAGAAATACAATAACTACAAAGTGGAAAGATTTTATTGTTGCTTTATTATCAACAGAAGGAAACTTTTAACAACCCACCCATCCACTTGGGTTTTGTACCATCAAATTGTGACAGGAACAACTTAGGTCAAGCATCCAACATACTACAAAACAGGTGACAACATTTAAGACAAAACGGAAGCAATGCGCATGATCAGATACTAGCAATGGAAGATGAGGAGGGGTCCCCACAGCACGAGTTTGCCTTAAAGTAGCAACAGCAATGGCAGCATGTCACCAGTACCGGGCAAAAACCATGACCTCATCGACTGATGATCACGTCACAGACTAAAGCAGACTAGATCACAGCAATAATACGCTTAAAGGAAGCTTACCGGGGGTTCTAGAGAATATATGGCGCTGACAACTGTGCCATCTTCATCTTCAGGAGGATTTAGTGGCATGTAATCTGCAAGATATTAAACAAGGTTCATATGCCAATGAGATTACCCTACAGAGAATGATATCATTAAAACAACTAATGCCATATAAATTTAAATCGAGTGATCAACTAGTAGAACAGCTCTAGGATATGGGCGCGTATCTGAGAGTGGATTGTGCCAAACAGGATTCAGTGAGTGTTGGGTCATTTTGAGTACTTAGCAATCTTTTCGTGCTTATGATGTCTTAGAATGTGATTGACAATTCCATCCTGGCAGTTCTTAGGCACTAGGCGCAACCCTGCCACATAGCATTACCTGCTGCCTAGGTTTCTGCCTTGCTAGACAGTAATAAGTACTAGGCACCACCTCGCTGTCCACTGAGTACTTTCTGAAAATAGCATGACCTGAAAATCTGCACGCTCTAGAGATGCTAACCGTCAAGCTAGGTGCGAACAGCACTAAAGGCCTAGCAAATATGCACCAAAGTGCAAAAACTGAAAAGAAAAAATTTATCCCCTCAGAATAAAAAGGAGAATAAAAGAGAGATTCGCTTAGGACAGGATATTATGTGCCATCAAATTACTAGAAAGCAACCAGGATATAATTCAAACTGGTGTTACTAAATATGATGCCATTATGATTTTGTAAAACGGAATACCAGTCAACCAAAAAAACAAGTTTAAAAGCCATTGCATGTGTTCGCAGGCATGTTTCTTCAACTGCCACTTCAATGAATTAACAATTTGATTAGGGAAAAGGGCATCATTCCAAGACGAAGAATTGCATTGCAACCATTCAACTAATAGTGGCTGCAGTTCTGCAGAATTATGCACACTTTTGGATGGTTTGGTTTACATGATCTTGGCATGACACGTGACAAAGATAGGTACAACAGTGGAACCTCTCTAATGGTAAGGGGTATTCAAAGGATCATAAAGAAAAAAGGGTAAAAAAAAATAGATATTACTAGAGAAGCATAATACAGGCCTAAAAAAATAAACCCAATTCAGCTTACAGGGCATGCAGTAGTAGAACTTGTTGGCTCTCTCAGTTTTCATATGCTTCAGCGCAGACCTGTAAACGTATAAACCTGAGATTTAGTAATCGTAACTAGTGGTAATGGAAATATAGCACATCATTGAATGAGAATGAAAATGCCTGGAAACATATAAGCAACAGAAATAAATATGTACCTAAAGCATGAAATTCTGAAAGCATAAATTCATAAAACTCACCTCCGCTGGGTGCAACAGAGAGTGAAGATTTTTGTTTTCAAACTTTCAATCCTGCCAAACCTGTAGGCAAAGCAATAGCAAGGTGAGCAAAATAAGTTACAAAGTAGAGGGAAAAAGCAGGGATATAAACAATGACAACAAAAGGCAACACATATTGCTCGATATAAGTAACGCAACAGTACCGGTCCTCAAGAGGAACATAAGGCACCCATGCCATCTTCATCTCTTTCATTGGTACTATTTCTTCTTTTCCCGTTTGAACCAAATTTATGCCAATCTTATCTGATGGAGGAAAAGGACAGTCAACCTGCAAAATTGAACATGTCAACTGCTAAACAAGACAGACCATCCAGATCATAGGCCTTAAACATGTATTTGATCAAATTAACAAATATGACAAAATATTTGATACTGCATGTTAGGGTAAAAAACATCAGTGAAGAGCAAGACAAGGTCACCAGCCAAATAATTTTTGACAAGTTAACAGGAAATCTTAGAGAGAGAAAACAGAATCATAACAGAACAACAGCAATAGAAGGAAATAAATGCTCCTACCAAGATAATTCTCTTGGTAACATCAACTGACAAAATAAATAGAGTTTCTTACTCCTTTTATTTTCAAAAGCTTGTAGCAACTTTCTAAACTTAAAAGCTGATACATAAATGTTCATCTTGTGCAATTAATAATTCTACATAAAAATCATAAACAATAATATACTAAAGATGGTATGTTTTTAAGTAATGCAAAAGGTATAAACAGAACTGCTGATTTGTTTATCTGATGTAGACATGAGCTAAAGGTTCAGCTCAATATGTACAACTGCAAGACCATTCTCCTCTGTACATTTTTTTCCTACTAACATGTTTTGCTTTGAAACACAAAATGTAAATATAATGGTGTTATAGATGCTGGGCCAAGAGAGTGGATGAGAACTTACAGCAACTACAACAGGAACAAGTACCATCTTCAATTCACCATTAACATCCAATAGTTGTGCTGCACGCCAAGAGGAGCCAATTTGACTTGTATGGAATAATATTCAACAGGTGTAAAACTAGTATGGAAATAAGAAGATGGCAGATACTAAATCCACTTTACATACAATATATAAAGTGATACACAAATACAATTGTTGAATCTCACTAAACCAGACTAATAGCACTTAAAACAAACATCAGTAAATTTATGGCCAGATAACCCTACTTTGCTACAGATTATGAAATATTACCAACATTATAAAACATGTATCATGGATCAACGGTAGCAAAATTAACTTCAGAAACAGATTACTGAAATATTATCAACATTATAAAACATGTATCAAGGATCAACGGTAGCAAAATCAACTTTAGAAACAGCTGAGTGCCAAGTATACTTAGTTACTTACACTCGGTGCTTCCAAACAAGTAAACCGTCTTCCCATATATAGTTCCCCCCCTTCCTCTAGTGTTTTCTGCTCATCAACAACAACCACATATCACTGTATGCTGAAGTTAAACATTCAAAAAGGGGGTAAATCTTACAAGATTAAGTTTGGCTATCATACCTCTAAATTTTCGAAGTTCCAATTGAATTCCTTTATCTTATCAATGCTTTCCCACTGCAGATGACAAGCCAAGTTCTATAAGTTGTTCAAGGCAAGGAAATGCGTACAGCTTAAGCTATATAATATGTCCAAGTGCGCACGACTAACATACACATTACGAAAAAAAGGGATGGGAACAAACCTCAGTCCCAATAGGAAAAGCAGACCACCACAGATCCTCCTGAACAGAGTGACAAACCATTAGTCAAAACACACATTAATCAAAATAGCAAGGCCATCATACAAGATCACAATTCTAATCATAATGACAACTTCCGAAAACAGTCATAGCGGTTGCTTCCAATAGGAAGAAACTGCTGTCATAAAAAGAAGAAAAAAACCTGCAAATAGAACATGGCACCTGTTGTGCAACAATGAATATGTTCTGAGTCAGCATGCCAGAAACATGTTGTTGACTCATCATCTTCCAATACTACCATAAACCTAGTGCTAATCTGGCATGCTCCTCGGCTGACATAGCAATTGCTAGCACCAGACTTGGAAAAAGGTTGACCAGCAGAACACACACGGGCTTAAAATTTTTTCATCAGTCACGAATTCTCTAATACCACGGGGTAAGCATTCCAGTTTCCTATTTACATGAGAACAAACTAATAGTCAAACCAAGTGTTAATAACATACTCATATAAACAGTGAGATGCGCATTTGAGCATCACTAGCAGAAGAACGGCACCAACATCCCCATTTTTTACCAAAAATCCCAGCGATGCGAGCACCAATCGAAAGTGAAGCTGTCCGCGAGCTAATCAGATAAGGACCAACGCTCCCTACTTGGGATACCAATTATCAAAACGCAAAGGAAGTGTCTCGGTGTCAATCGATTGAAATTAGTTTTTCTCTTAACCAACGCCTATAACCATTAGACATTGATCCAACAGTCCATCCAGACCTGGATCTCCTTTCTCTCTTTCTTCTTCCTGCTTTCATCTTCACGTGCGATACACCCCGTCGCGCCGAGAACCGCCGACGCCCAACGCGGAGCCCCCGCCGCCACCACCTCCCCTCGGCTCCCGTCAGGGCCAGACGCCCCTGCCGCCTCCGCCGCCCACTGGGGTTCCTCCACTGCCCGGCTCCGGCGGCGCCTCCACCGCAGGCCGGCGAGCCTCCCTGAGCTCCTTCTAGGCCTGCAAGTCACAGGTAACTTCCAACCCCAGATCCCCTAATTCCTAACCCCAAATCCCATTCATTTTTGTAATAGAGATTTTGGTGATTGATGGATAAACTAGATTTCAATCGATTGATGGGGAACGGAAAACCTAACAACCCCAAGCACGCAACCGAAACAGGTCATCCTGCAGCCTACTCACCTGATTCCTCTTCCGGGGGAAGTACTCCATGTCAGTGGCCGCCGTGCGCTACCTACCCCGCGCCCCCCGCTCTCGGTTGCTAGGGTTGGCGTCTGGATGAGGCGAGGATATATATAATCGAGACCTCTCTTATATACGGGGCTTTCGGCGCCGGGGGACCGGGCCACGTCGCCCGAATTGGGCGTCCGTCCGTGCCACAGGCGCGTGCAGCTTTGCAGAAAGACCCTCCGTCTTTCCTGAAATCGGATATAGGTCTACTCCGGTCCTTCCGCTACAGTAAACGAGGCCGTTTTTCTTACTAAACCCTCTGTTGTCCAAAATATTTCAACACTAAGAAGGGAAAATTCGGATATCGTGGTAATTTTACGAAAAAACGCCCGCCGTCACTTTTTGGAGGAACCCGCGCCGCCCCCGCGCCGTTATTAATCTATTCGCTTCAGCTTATCAGCCGTACAAATCAGCTATTGCACAGTATTCCTGGTGTAGTCCTAGATAAGCAGACGTTTCTTGAAGCAGACTTTTTTTCAAGCTGAACATAAGCAGACGTGGTGTAGTCCTGGATACACGATGCCCGGTTTGCTACCGTTATGATGAAGATGGAGGACACTGTTTCTTGAAGTGCAAGCCAATGCGGCATTGTTGGAGAGAGCTCCGTTTGGAGGAGGAACGGATCAAATTGCTGAAATCCGATTCCTCGGAAGATTTTGTGCGAGATGTGCTGAACCTGACAAGTGATATATGTCTCAAGGTGGCTGTGCTATTATGGACATGGTGGGATGTGCGAAACAAGGTGAATGCAGGAGAGCTTATGCCTACGTGTCAACAAACGGTGCAGGCTGTTGTATCTATGGTGTCTGACATTCAGAAGATGAACACTCGGCAAAGACAACTGGTTGTCACTCCACAGTCGAGATGGTGCCCACCTGCTAGGGGATGCCTCAAGATAAATTTTGATGGTGCATTCGTACACGAAACAAATATTGGAGCTTGGGGTTTCAGTGCGCGACCATGAAGGGCAGCCGGTCCTTGCTGGTGCCGGCAATCTTGTGTCGATCCATAACGCCCTCTTGGCAGAAGCTTATGCATGCAAATATGCGCTGGAAGCTGCAGCTTACCTTGGCATATCTCGAATTGTACTGGAGACAGACTCGAGCCAACTGAAAGAAGCCTTGTCATCTTCCTCTATGGACCTGGCGATTGGTGGAGGCCTTTTCAGAGATCTCCGGGATAGTTTGCTCGATGATTTTAGCTGTGATTCTATTTGTAATGTTTCAAGAGTTTGCTGTTAGATACTTTGGACCATCTAGGTGTAGATCAGAGGGTGATATCTTTACTAATTGAATCAAATAGACCTAAAACTTGCTTCGGGGAAAGGAGACAAAGAGAGAGATGTAGGAGCATCTGACCGTCGGAGGGGTTGGAGGAACTCCCTGCCATCGTTGGTTCGTCGGTGAAGCTCTGCGCACGGGCAGCGACGGTTGGTGTAGCGGTGGTGGCAAAGGCAGTGGCGCTTCCCGCCGCTGGCAGTGCCTCCCTCGCGATCGGACTAGGGTTAGACGGTGGGGTTGTGGCGGCGGCAGTGAACCTCGTTTCAAGAGCCGTTTGGCCCACCTTCTCTTTATAGGCACTGTGCGACGGGGCCCACCAGCCACTAGATGGCTGGACGTCCCCAATCAGGACGCGGTCAAGGGGTCCGTCTCGACCGTTGGGTCAAGACGGATGAGATCAATTTTAACATTCTCCCCCTTGATCTCAACTCATACTTTAACTTTAAACTTTGACTTTAATCCCTTTCACTTTTATTTGTTCCATCACAGATTAGTGCATAGAGCATGCTTCATCGTCACGGTCAATCGCCGATAGACTTAACAGCTACAATACACATATCTGTTTTGAAACAGATTTTTTAACTTTTAGGCCCTTTATTGTCCGGAAATCATAGGCTATACCATAAACCCATGTCGACTGTATGTTCTCTAAACACACTGGGTAGTAAGCCTTTTATACGCGGATCCGCAAGCACTTTCTTGTTACTTTAATACTTTTAGTATGATTCCGGACTTTCTCCTTCACAACGTATAACTTTAACGTCAATATGTTTGGCACCACACTTGACCCGTTGTTATAGGAGCGAACTACTTAAATGGTTATTGCTGTTGTATACCATTATCAATTCCGGGTGTAAGTTCTTTTAACCATTTTGCCTGTCCTTAAGCCTCGTAACAAGCTATACTGTGGGTATGCATCTTTGATGACACCACAACTGTTTTTTTGGAGCTTTTCCACAATAAAACTCCAATTGCGAGTGTTAGCTACTATGTGGGTTTCACTAAACATCTCGCCAAAATTTAATATTTGTACCCACAACTATTTGAGAGTACTTATTCTTTCTTACTCACCATGAGGCCTATAAATCTTTGCACAATTGCAAAACATTCTCAACTCCATTCCAGTGATCTATATCTGGACTGGACTTCTGCTAAAACATCCCGGATACATGAACTATGTCAGGATAAGTTCTTACTTATAAGCACTCATTAAGCTTTCCAACAGCTGAAGCATATAGGACGTCCTTTCGATCTCACATTGGTTCTTGGAACAATGAAAGTTCCCAAAACAATTACCCTTGACTATAGGAACAGACGTAGGTTTATTCACATATATACTTTATTTCTTTAGAATCTTCTCTAAGTATACACTTGAGATAGTTCTAATACCCCTTTTCCTTTTGTCTCGGTAAGTTCCAATTTCTAGAACGAATGACGCTTTACCAAGATCATTCTCATTGAAACTTGAGGACAAGAACTACTTCTTCTCCAACAGTAGATTAACACCACTACTAGCGAGCAAGGTGCTATCCACGTGCAGGATTAGGGAAATTGATTTCCATGTTTAAACTTTGCATAAATACAATTATCCTCTACATTCTCTTTAAACCCAAACTTTCTTATTGTACTGTCAAAATTCAAGTACCAATATCTTGAAGCTTGCTTTAATCCATAAATGGATTTCTCTAGGCAATATCCCTTACGTTCTTTTTCTTCCACGACAAAACCTTTTGTGTTGTGCCATGTAAACTTTCCATACAAACCCCGTTGAGGAATGTGTCTTTAAATCCTTCTGATGTAACTCTAAATCGTAGTGTGCCATTAACGCCATTATGATTCTAAAAGAATCATTGCATTCTTATTATAATCTATTTCTTCTCTTTGTGTAAATCATTTCGCCACAAGTGGCGCTTTATAGCTTTCCATATTTCCTTTGGAGTCACATTTGTCTTGTAGACCCATTACAGCCTACTATTTTGGCTCTATTGGGAATTTCTTCTAAGTCTCAAACATCGTTGGTATTTATCGATTTCATTTCATCTTCCTTTGCTTCTTGCCATTTAGACGAGTGAACGTCTCTCATGGCTTTTTCAAATGAGGTGGAATTACCCTCTATTTGAATTTCTTTCTTAACATTGACTCCTTAGTCACCAGAAATATCTGATTTTCTTATTCTTTGAGACCTTCTGGAGCCTCGTGGCACTTCTTTCATATGGGGCTATTGTTACTCTTCATTGCCAAAAGGCAATTGTTCTATAGCCTCCTGTATTACAAGATCCTTATTTACTTATTCATCTTCTTTAAGAGCTAACATCAGGTGTTGTATATGTCATACAACATCAACATGTATTAAGCAATTTGTTGCTCTAAAACACTGTAGTGGATATGTAATCCCACCTCTATTCAAGCCTTAGGTATCTACATACCATGCTCCCCCAGATTACTCTATCTTCTATAAAGATGGTGTATCTTCAAATTTCTTATTTTGGGTTTAATCTGCTAAAAACTCATATGGCGCATTTAGCACTGCCTTGATAACTCTAAACTCGTCCGGTATGAATACTAGCCGACTATGCTATCTTCCTATCGAAACTGTAAAAGGTCTAGGAATTTAGCTATTTCTTTACTTTAGGGGTATCGTTATTATGACCGTCTTACTCCCTCAACTATCACATTCATCTTTTATAGATCACTTTTACCTTCAATGCATAGTATGCATTGCATTATCTGAAGTATGGGGAAGTATCTTTCTTAATTGTCTTTCTTAATTAATCTCACATTTCTCCCTCTCGAAATGTGGTATGAACTTTTCTACCACAATTTCGAAAAACATTCAGAACTCTTGTTAATGAGGAAACTTTGATTACTTACTTCATCCACATGATTACATCATGCAAACAAAATTCGTATGGGAGTACATTTTTCTCATTTCATTTCAAAACACAACATAGTCTATTATTATCAATACTTCTGCAAGTCACGCTTGCATATCATTCTTATCTTTTGGTTCACATGCAACTTTCTTTTGTTCTTAAACTCATTGAGTACTTAATGACCATGACACAATCAGAGTGTACGGTCAATACTAGGATAGCATAAGAGATATCCCAAACTTCTCTCCATGTGCGGGATACACTTAGAGCACATGAGTCATCACATCCATCTCCCGCCATGCGGGATAAGTACTATACCAAAACTCTTCCGCCGTGCAGGATTGGTTAACATAAGTACTATGCCAACTTTACCCCGCCATACGGGTATTTTCTCAATCTTTTCCCGCCATGCGGGTACTATCACAAACTTTTCCCGCCATGTGAGATAATTCCCTTGAACGGACATAATTGCCAAGATTGGCTCGTGTTCAATCATCAAATTCAGAAATAAATCCAAATATTCTTTTAACACACATGTTTAATCCAATGTTGGTCAAATTAAACATCTATATGACTTTTACAACTCTCATAAGTGAAACTAAAAATAAATTCTTCTTCACAGAGAGTACATAAAAGACATTTCTGAATGAAGACTCTTATTGATCTATCTCTTTTCTTAGATCAATATCCTAGAATTCTTTTCTTTTGAAGCCATTCTTTAAAGAGAACACAGTCCCTTAAGCAATGGCATTCATCATCTGAGTCACAAGTACCCAGCTTATTTCTCTTACTGCCTTCAAGAATGAAAGCATGGAGGTCTTTTGTCTGA